TCCCAGCCCCGGGCGAAAACAAGCCTACTGCTTCTTGATGGTGTACTGCTGCTACTCACTACTCTTGTGTTGCACCCTTACAGGGTCTCCACCCCGAGACGTTGTTGCGCTTCATATAAGCAGCTAGAAGCCTGCTTCTTGAAGGGGCGACCGGTCGAAGAAAGGATCTGACTTTGAGCTGGCACGCGGAGTTTGGGATATTCAGGGCGCGTCAGACCTACGATAATCAAGAGGGGGGGTTCAGAACTTCCATTTGCCGAATCTTGGAGTCTGTTAGTCAATGGAGTTTGAGCAGTAAAGATTATGTAGTAGCGGTTGTATGTTATATATTATACATTATGCATACCTTACGAAGTAAATATTAAAGTACATCGTGTGCTCAGTCCGCGACGGTGATGTGGATCAGCAGCGGCAGCACGAAGTCCGTCATCCATCAAGACGGTCAGGACCGCCCAGTGAGTATAGGGGCCTTAATAATTACCAATACTACTTTGGGGGTGCTTTATTGTAATGATAGTATTGCAATTATTGAGGCCCCTATTTGCAGGGTTTCAAGCAGTTTAGGATTTCGGTTTAGTGCATAGTCAAGAACATAAAGTGTTGGGTCACGGTGCAGGAAGCGTTGAACATACTCAGCCCTAGCAAATCGCAACTCGCCGACGACTTCTCGAGACTCCAAGTCTAACGGGTGAACGAAAACCCTGCAGGGTCCACAGCGCCCAGACCTCTGGAGTCTAGACCCGAAGCCCCCCAAGCCCTTTAAACCCTACAATCCCTAAGCCAAGCCCCAACAATCACAAAGTGAATGCTCAGGGTTTCGAGTTTAGCAATCCCGAGCCGCAAGAGAAATCGTATCCTGCAGGACAACATCCATTGTATGTTCGCCGGCCAGAAGGTTCGGGTTCAGGGTTTAAGCTTGTAAATGTCTCTTCAGGGTCTTCGATGCTCAGGAGCCCTGGACATAAGGGTTCTGCAGCGTCCTTTATGCATAGCCTCGGTCCTATGCTGGGAATTCTAAACCAACGAATTTCCAGACTTAGCATCATTAATTGAGAGTATACGGTTTGAGGTGGTGGCTTTAACAAAGTTGACTTGAGAATCCCTGACCATACATGCAAACCCAGGACTATCAGGGTCAATACCGCGAGCGGGGGGATCTAGTCTGTCAAGTGTGCTCCCTTCTTTGGCGTCCTTAAACACGGGAATTGAGAGATTATTTGTAATTTTGGTTGCTATGAGCTTATAAGCCCTAACAATAGCTAAGATTATACTTTTTTGCCAGGGTCCGAGTTCAGTATAGCTGATGCATCAGCCAGAGTCCGAAAACGCGCCGCCTGATCCCCAAACCCTGTCAAGCTTGAAATCCAAGACCCTGAACACTGCACCCTGAACCTTACACCCCAATCTTTATGCCCTGGCTGTGAAAAAAATTCCCGAATTCCTTAACCCTGAACCCTCGACCCAACAAGCCCCAAACACGAAATGAAGTTCTCAACTCGTCTGAACCCGACGCAACCTCGTAGCCTAACACAAGGATTTTACAAGAGTGTATGGCTGGGAATGATTAGTATAACACTATTCGCTGGGGTTCCTGAAAGCCGTGCTAGTTAAGGCGCCTGCGTTTTGCATGAGCGCTTTCTTGACGCACTTGGTAGGGGATGCAATATTGGTCTGGAGGATTGCTTCAGGGTTTACATCGCATGCAAAGTCGACCTACTGAGTTGGAAGAGCCTCTAGCTACTTCTCTCCAGAACCTGGAGAGTAAGTGGAAGCATAGCGCAACCACGGAGAGTTCCAGCAGTCAAGCCACCAGCAATTCTTGATGGAAAACCTTCCACACAAGGGCCTTAACTCAGTGGATACACTTTACACTTCTTGGGATCAGATTACTCACTATGAAACTAAAAGTATACACTTTTTTGGTGTTTCTCAACCTTGCAACTAAGTTAAGCACTCATGATCAACCTCCAGGATTAGTGATTGTTCCGTTAGCCTTCGTTTTGAGTCCGGAGTTCATGGTACAAGCCCGAGGAGGGAGAAAATAAGGACAGCCTGTGAACACGCAGGATTGGATTTTGTGGGAATCGTCTGCCCCTATCCGGAAAAGGCCGCCGTGCTGAAAGTCTAGACCTGTGCGGCCTGACAGCTGATGAAGGCTATTGGTTCTGCTAGGACAGCACTTGTGGAAGTATGAGGATACAGACAACCAAGATATTCAAGTAGTCGCCATATGCACTCATGCTTGCACGTGCCTATGCATGTATGTAATTATGTGTAGACACTGTCATATGTTACGCTATTGTGCATGTACTTAAATGTATATATGCATGTATGTATGTTTGTATGTACTTTGCATGCATAGACGGATAGACGGATGCATGGATGGATGGATGGATGGGTTCATGGGCGGATAGGAGGATGGCTGGCTGGATGGATGCACGCATGGATGGATGTACACGAGAGAGAGATAGACAGAGAGAGCCAGACAGAGAGTGTGTGTGTGTGTGCCCCTGTGCCTGTGCCTGTGTATGTTCGCATGTACGGACGTATGTAGGCATGTACGTATGTAGGTAGGTATTTCCGTATGCAAAAATCGACGAACGCATGCATGTACGTATGCTGGTGTGGTATGGTACGGTATGGTATGTTATGCATATATAAATATTCAAACAATCAATCAATGAAGCAATCAGTCAATCACTCGATCAATCACTCACTCACCTTAATCAGTCAATCAAACAATCATTCAATGAGTCACTCGATCAATCGATCGATTAGTCAGTCAGTGAAAAGTTCATTGAATCAATGAATCAATCAATCAGTCCGTCAATCAATTCCATGAATCAATCAACCAATACATAGAGTCTTGTTGGATGAATGAATTCATGCAGGAATGAACGGGCGCTTACGCATGCTTTCGTAAACGCAAGCAGGTAGGGATTTGGATGTGGCATCTGCACATGTGTCTACGTTAAGGATTCTAATTGGTTTGGAAACTGGCACTCATAGATTTCCATATTCGTATACACGAGCGTTAGGGATGTGAACACATATACTTGCCTGTAAGGGACCTACATGCGAGCGAACTTGTGTACATAAGTCCACGCGCAGCTTGAACACATAGACATGCAATGCCTGCGCAACATCGAAGGTGTACTGTTGAATACAACCTAGCCACCGTGAACCTAACCTGAACTCGAAAGCCCTAAGAAAACCCAAAAGCTCGCATTCCCCAGCCCGAAAACCCCTGACGTCGTAAACCATTTTTCGCTGCCCAGGAAAATGGGATGGGTACATGCCGAAGACGAGGCAAAGAAGGAGCGTCGAACTAATTTGGGGTGTTGACCCATGGCCCCATAAATAGGTTATACAACTTGACGGGTCTTGCAGGGTTTTATGAGAGGGTCAGATACTTGCGGGTTTCATTGTAGGCTTCTCATCCCCGCGATCTTACAATTTGCAGTTTTTTCTGCAACTCCCGCCGAGGCATGCATTTTCTGTTTCCAGGAATAGTCAGTAGAGTTGTGTTGAGCTTCTAGCCATTTGGCGTAAGAACATTCTTCCACACACTGTTTTTGGGTTTCGTGGCATGATCGCGGATAGGTGCTCAAGTGCACGAAGAGCTGAAAGCTGAAGGTGCATGAAGAGCTGGCATCAGTACTTGGGTAGCTAACCTACAGCCTCTTGGGATTTGCATAGTCCTAGTATGACATCAAATACGTTGTTTGGGGCAGGGAAATCTGGCTTCTGTTTGCTTCAGAAATCGGAAATGCAATATCTACAGCAGAAAAAGCACTAAGAAGCAATCCAGTTTTGAGCCGGAATCCTAATTAGCAATGATATAGAGGTCGAACAAGTAGTTTGCATGTCCCCTTCATGGTCTCATTCCCAAGACCCGTTGCATGACTGATTTCTGTTTTGTGAAAGCGTCCATGCCCATGCTGCAGCATCTAGGATCACTGGAGTGTGTGCGACTTCTTTGAGTCTGATACCCATTGCAAGCCGGGCCGGGATGGATGAATCCCAGCTAGAGTTGCAATGGCCAACAGCCTACGTGGCCACGGCTTTCACTTTAGAGGTGTTGCTGACGGCTTGGCTGCTGTACCAGGCATCTGTTTTGCTGCTGAGGGGGGGGGCCGCCCTGGACCCCTAAACTACGCCTGTAACCCTTATAAACCCTAACCCTGCTTCAGCAAGCGGAGTCTGTCGCCTTCGGAGGACTTACCACAAAGACGAAAATTTCAGAGGCTTCCAGGTCCTCGACAGCTCCAGATTAGATCCGAGGGTATAGGGCGCCCTTACTTGGAGGGTCGGGGAACGTAGTAAGTAGATAAATAAGTACACTTACAAGTGCCCTAATTGGGAATTTCCGCTGGTTTCGCAACAGCACCAGGGCCCAGCCAGCACAGCCGGATTGAAATCAGGGTCAGATGCTGTCCATACAAGGTGTTTCGCAGTGCCCATGCACGAATCCCTACACCCTACACCCACAGATTCCCAAACCTCCCATTCCACGGCCCTTCGACACTCAGCCGACCAGGTGTGCACACGTCAAATGTCCATGGGTGCTATCCGACGACGAATCGTCTCTTATGCCATCCGCCTGGGCAGATCGTTGGTTCCCTTCTACCGGGAATCTAGCAGCCACTTGAGGAGAGAGGATTTCCGTAATTTCTGAGTTTATCGTGGTTAATGTCGGAAGAGTTGCCTCTTGAGGCTGTTCGGAGATCAAAAACCGTCACAAGGAAGGCTTCAAGCTGTTGCGAGCTATGCGAAACTTTTGGTTTCAGATCTCGAACTGACGGCTGAGCATGCATTCTTAGGAGCCCCCGACTCATTGTCCCGTAGAGACTAGGCACCCAATGCTTCAACACCTATGTCTTAGCATTAGGGAAACTGCTGAAATCCGAGGTAGGAGGGCCATCCATAAGGAGGTGAGAGCCCTTCGATGGTACCTCAGCAGAAAGATTGTTGCCATCAACCTTATTCTAGTACTGGTAATGGTGTTGCTGATCCAGATGCGCGTTGTCTTCCAGCTACCTGCAACGATCCAGGGTGCCTTTTGCTGGACCATGGTTGGAACACTTGCTTGGATGACGATGTCCTTGGTCGTGCCACAAACGACCAAACATGATCTTTGGTATGTGATATACTCATGCATTCTGATGCTGTATCTCCTGCCAATGAACTCCAGCACACGTAGTACCACCCGCGTAGCTCCGCTTCTCTTCACGCTCTTTCGTTTGCCTGCAATCCTCATTGTGGACCGCATTTATTTGGTGTTTTTCAGCAACCTGCCCTTCCTGGTCGTCATAAGCTGGCGGGCGGCGGTAGAGGATTTCGATTTGAGTTACGGGGGCCGGACAGCTGCCGTAGGTATGGAGTGCTTGCACATAGCAGTGCTGGTTGCCCTGGCCGTGGCTCTGCAAGACTATCTGGCAGGCCGGGTAGAGCTGGAGATGGAGAGCTGCAACACTGCCACTCAGCTGACTGCGGCCTCCTCACTGCTCCAGTTGACTTGTGATGCCGTGGTGGAGTTGGATGGTGACCTCCGCTTAACGAAGCATTCCAAGGAGCTGTCTGCGATGCTCCTCCGAGACACCAGCTCTTTAAGCGCGTCGCTGAAAGGCGTGCGCTTCATCGACTTAGTGGCGAGTTCGGACACTGCTGCTGCACTATCGAAGCTGACCAACTTCCGCAGCAGAAGTTGCAGCAGTGTCATAAGTGGCGCCTCAGAGGGAATGGGCGCGCACGCTTTCCACACACGTTTGGTCGACAGCTGTGCCACGAAGCTGCAGACAGAAGTTCTTCAGGTGATGTACACCAAGAGAGACGGCAGCACCTGTCACCTCGTGGGTCTGCGAGATTTCACGGACACCAAGCCATACACTGGAATCACGAGCCAGACAACAGGCTTCGAAAGTGAGGCAGATGCATCCGCTGATAGCCTCAGCGTCGGACAGCAACTGAGCGAGGCATCTCAGGCGCTCGCCGCTGCATATGTATGTTTGTATGTATGTGTATATACAATACATATAGAGAGAGGGAGGGGGGGAGAGACAGACTTGTTGTATACGCAGTTTTAGGACTTATAGCGTCCGTTTTAGGACTTATAGCGTCCACTTGCAGCATTGAAGCCTCCGGTCTCGGATGGCTTTACAAAGGGTTAAAGTGCAATCCTGGCAACAGCAAGGAGTTCAATGGTAAGCCGGAATTCCTGCCTTTGGCAGGGATCGCAGTGGAATACTTCGTGATACTCATAGGGGTCTAAACAAATCAAAAGAGGGTGCGGCGTGCCCCGGCGCCCTATCAGCAATGTCACGTCCCTGGTCAGGTGCCTGTGCAGCATGGGCGTGGGACTCTCTTTCTTGAGATCGACGCTTGACCCTTTATTTAGGATTTTTGCTTGGTTTGATCGGGAGTCTAGACGGGATGAAGAACATCCTCGATTGGCCTGGCATTAGCAAACCACCAACTACAAAATCGCAGTTAGTTCTGTAACTCTGTTCAGTAGCCTCCCTAAAGCCCGGAATCCTGAACCCACGCCCCAGACCCTGCCTGCTTGCCTCTGGCCTTGCAAGCCGCGGAAACCCCCCACGAATGCCACCCCTGAATCTAAACTTTATGGGATCTTTTTTATAGCACCCTTATGGATCCCTTAAAGTAACCCTTATAGGCCCCTTAAAGGAACCCCATTCTGATTATTAATGCCCCCCCTATATTGTTCTATGTGTTGAGGGGCCTGGGACCCCGAAGGATGTGGATGGGTTGCAGATCACGGCCGCCTCGTCCAGCCTTGTAGATTTGGTTGGGGCGCCGACAAGTGAGGCGCTCCTTCGAAGCTGAGCACAGAGAGAGCTCAGGGTTTAGCCAGGAAGCCCCAGAAACAAAAACCCAGAGGGTGCAAGATCTGCTCCTCCCAACTCCAGGAGTTTTCGTTGTGTCAGACCCGGGCTTTCTGGGAAGTTTGGGAGACTTGCTCGCGAGACACCTAGGGGACCTAGGCACGGTTCCTCGGAGTCGATGAGTCTCCGGGGATCTCTTTAAAAGGGGCGATGAGAATCCCCCCCAAAAAGAGCCCATCACCAGGTGTTCCCTGCTGCCCAGACTATTCAACTTCTGGAGCGGATTCACAGCGACTTGCCGGAAAGCTTGCTTAGGGCTCCGGGTTCTCGGGTTAAGGGCTTGGGGGGGAGGGCCTACCCATAGTCTCCTTTGGAGTTCCTTGTTGAGGTTTCCTTAGAGGATCCTAGATATAACAAAAGCAGGAATTACAATAGAGACTATAGGTGGTGCCTAAGGCCTAGGGACGAATTTAAGCAGACCCCAGGTGTCCTAGGTAGTATTACGGAGGCCCTTTAAGAGGGGACCCTTCTAAAAACTATTTCAGGCTCTCTTAAGTGGGACCTTATCCCCAAGGCTTCCCCCCAATCCTAACTTTCCAGGTGATGGCAGAATGCGCTTGGAGAGAGGGGAGCGGCCTCCAGCGAAAGCCACTGGGACTCTTTCTGGCGCAGGCTTCACATAAGGCTTGGGGGGTGTATGGTATGTTGGCTTTTGCCATGATTGTATATGTGCATACAAGTGAAAGTCTTGACGACTTAAGTTGAAGGTGGCTAGGTTGAGGCGGTGTGGCCGTTGGGGCGTCCTATAGGCTGTGTCCGGGTACAGGGCCGCATGTCCTGGGTTCAGAAAAGAAGCGATCTCTATGATAGCTTCAATTCTGTCTGGGCCAAGCTATGACGCTTCAAGTGTTCATGGCGTGCGCAGGGAGCCCAAAACCACTTAATGGCATCGCGGGCTTTCTCGGTACAGGCATCTTGGATAGCTTGGCAATCAGGTTTGAATCCGCAGCCGCGCTGAGACAGCAGCCCGAAAATGCTAGACCTGACAGTGGCGAGCGAAACCCAGGGTACTTTCAAAATGCGACTGAAGGCCTCCTGAATCGCTGAAGCCTAAGGCGAAGAAGACCTTCATTCTAAAACCTGACCCAGAGCCTGACACGCGTGCCAAAAGCCTGGGTTTTATGAACGTGTTATGGGTTTCAAGATTTGGGTTAAGAGCTTATAACCTGCACTACCACAACGACGGAAGCAGTTAAATTGTTCACCGCCCGCGCTGAAGCGCTCTTCACGACTTCAGGTGAACCCCTCGCACAAGCCTTGCAACCCCCCTTTACGAGCAAGTTCCTTCACAAGGAATCCTAAACTCTAAACCAAACTGTAGTTACTGTGGAACCAGATCAAGAAACCTTGGGCCTTTATTAGGATTCCTTATATGAATCCTATATAACTTTGCTGTTATAGGCCCGGGAATTCTTAATTCAGTCCTACATTAAACACGAAACCGGGAAGCCCAGCCTTGGACAGAGCCGGAACAGACCTGCATGTGGGTAGAAGACAACTCCCGGAGGGATCCCATAATCACCCATATTATAGTACCCGTATAGTACCCTTATAGTACCCTTATAGATCCCATATAGTATCCCTTATAGACCCCAGCTCTTAAGTTGTCTGCAAGGATATGTAGGGTATTGTAGAGTTCAGGGTCTGGAGCTGAGTAGGTTTGTGAGTTTGGGGTTTGTGTACTTGTTCCGCTTTAGTCGTGCGAACTGCGAAAATCCTGGGCTTCAGGTCTTCTCCTACGACGAAATGCCTGCTCAGCTGCGTGCGACATCGACGGAGTCGATTTGGGGCACCATGCAGGTTCTACAGGCGCCTCGTGAGTCCTTCCGCCGTTGGCTAAATTAGGGCCTCTTTGACGTCCCAAAGAGTACTATGCCACCCTGAAAAAAGGGACCCTGCAGGGGACCCTAATCTTTCTGGCCCCCTAGGGTTCATAAGCTTCACTCAAGCCTCCATGCCTTGAGACTTACGGCTCGCCCGACTTCCAGATATTGACCTCGTAAACCTAGCTTCCCGACTCCCTGGTCCTTAGCAGGGCATGGGGGAATGGATCCGTATACGGATCCCTACAGTAGTCCCTATGTAATCCCCACTAGCAGAAGTCGGCCATGCACCCCTCGTCGTGCCCCAACAGCTCGCAGAGGAGGTTTAGGAAGTCCCGGCGTCAAAGGCTGAGAATCCGAAAGGCCCCAGAAACCACTGCCCCAAGAGGCCCAGAGCGGACTGAATGTGCTCATGGCCTTCCAGGCGGGAGCCTCCGGAGAAGCGGCAGAAATTATTATTCGGGAGGTTTTCCGTCTTCTACATATTCTGAAACCACCACAATGCTACTCTAAGAACAGAGAGAGGGGCATGCTGGAGCACAGTCTTGAAGGGACCTGTTGACGCAAGAGTTAATGTTCCGGCCTCTTCTTTTTTATGTAGTTCAGGGCAGGGATGCAATTGAATGTCGTGTGAAGAAACGCGCCTTCTGACTGGTTGTTATCTGGTGTTCCTTCTGCCTTGGTCGGATGTGCTATATGTTGCATTCGACAGCTGTGAGACGATGCTGCGGCAGCAATACCAGCAAATTTTGGAGACCCGTAGCCGCCTGAGCCGCCAAAGCCGCCTGCAGCCATGATCGTGGCAGCCCTCGTGCTTGGCGCTGTGGTCGCCGGGGCCGCTTCTCCCGACAAGGTAGCGCAGCTCTCAGAAGCCATGGCCACAGATGCATGTGCTGACGGGACCTGTGCCTTGCATGCGCTCCAGCAGAACATCTCCGCCCTCCCGGCCAACAATACGAAGCAAAAGAGCGACCCGGCGAACCCACCGCCCAAGGCTGAGAAGCAAGAAGAGCAGGAGGACAAGGACCCCTTCGATCCGGAGGGCGATCTGCTTGGAGCCGATAACTTCGCCGCCACAAAAGTGGCTCTGCTGGCTGGTCCCAAGGCGGAGACAAGGTTTGGGGCAGTGGCAGAGGCATCGAAGATGTCAACGGTGGCAATGTTGGCTACTACAACAACGGCATGCACGCAGCTCATGCACGCTGCGGCGGCAGCCACTGCGCCCTGATCGTGAACCCACCGGGCCACCGCAGCATCAACCAGTTCCATATTCACTTCGTCTCCTACGCAGGTTATGGATCCAACCTCAAGCACAAGCTCGAGAAGAGGGTCTGTGGCAAAAGCGGTTGGCGCAGCGGAGGCCTGCCTTGTCACGGCAAGGCGATCTTTGTCAGCGGTTGGCCGAGTGTCTTCTCGGTGGCCATGGGTGGAGGCGGCATGAGACATGCTAGCGTGATCGCTTGGCCCAGCTCCTGCGGTCACAAGGGTACGATTATCGAGTTGGCTTATGGCTGCAGCATAGAGCACCAGATTCGTGGAGACTACAACCCAGCCTATCGTTAGGCCAGGTGAGGACTCGCTGCGAGATCAGGTGCGGCCTCCTCCTTTTCCCAGCCAGTCTTAAGCACTGGCTCCGAATTCATCTCGGGGGTCCTACTCATACTCTCTTTCTGCTCGAGCATTCTATTTCATGCAAGTTCCTGGCTGCGCTCCAAATGTAAAGCCACACCTTCGAGCAGAATTTTGTTCATGTGCCGGCGTTTAAGCCATACGTTGTTCCCTAGCTACCGACGCAGAAAAACGAGGCAGCACAGAGATGTCCAGTGATAAGCAGGCAGCCTAACGTCTTAAATTCATCTATACTGTACCTACATATACGTAGTCTCCTTTGTATGTCCTTTTTGGGGTTGTCTTCCAGGATCCGAAATATACAGATGGTTAAACCAAAAAACTACAATCGAGACGATGGGTGGTGTTCCTAGGCACTTCTTTTTGTGTGCTCAGAGATGTCTTAGCCGCGGGTGATCTTTCCTTCTTTCGGGAGGTCGGGACACTGGATGACCAGAGCAGTGTGTGCACGGTGTCTTGAGTTGTTGGAAGTAGTCTTCCCGAAACCATTCAACCCTAAACCCGAAGCAGTTGATGCAGAGCAGAGCTACCACCAGAGTATATGGGTTCCAACCCGAAAATCTTTCATCCTCAAACCCAAACCCCTATACCCGGGGAGTTGTGAGCGTCGAAACCCCTAAACCAGCGTTTGGCTTCCCAGTTGATGTTTGGCCGACATCCTCCTGAAGGTTGCAATTTCGTGACTGAGTGATCTGACCTGACTCTGAGTACCGGGTTTAGGGCTTATAGGGTTTCTGCCGTGCGGCTTTTCTGGCTCCGAAACCCTTCCCTTGTATTGTGGGGTGGCCAGACTCTCAAAGCCCAGACCCAAAAATTTTAAAATCCCAAAAAGGGTACCCAACCTCATGAAATCCTGGGGCCCTGTCTGGACCCTGAACCCTAGATCCTTATGCTTAATCCACCGAAGAAGATCAAGGCCAAGGGTTGGGTCAATCCCAGGTTAAGCACTCATTATTTCATGTCAGGAAAGACTCGGGCCCCGATATGGGAGTTTCCGAAAATTAGGGGTACCTTCTTTCGCGGTCCTTGTAATAAGGATCCTACTATCTAGGGTTAGGGTCCCCTATTTTCGGAAACTCCCATATGCGTGCAGTGATCCCTGTGATACTTCTTACTGTAAGCAGGAGTTGACCTGTCCTACAGGTGTCTCCGACAAGTCGCGCAGTCACCCCACGGCACTCCCGGAGCTTGGGCTCGCGGTCGCCACTCGCCCTGGCGTTCAGGAGCTTTGTAGACTCTAATCCTTTTTGGGTGTTTCCGAAAATAGGGGACCCTAATATAGTACCCTAATAGTGTGAGCGCCGAAATAGTAGGATCCTTATTACAAGGACCCCGACATAAGGTACCCCTAATTTTCGGAAACTCCCTTTTCGGTACGGATGCATCGGAAACAACAGCAGGAGGTAGGTCGGTGACGAAGCACTCCGGGCATTCTCGCGTCGTTTACGGTTCTCTCAGCGAGAAGTAGAAGGAGGGGTGGCTGCTGCACCTCTCCATCAGTGATTGCGCACTGGCCCCGGAATGGCTGTCAAAGCCATCTCGGACTTCCCGATCCGAAAGCTTCCTTGATTAGTGTAGGCTAGGAGCTTCAGCCTCAATGATTAGCAGCAACTCTGGGTTGTCCTGCCGACCTCAATATCGTCGACCCCAGATGCTAAGACCACCACCATGGCGTCTTGGCATGCTTGAATTTCAACTCGTGACGCGCCGCGCGTGCGTTGCAAGCACGAAGCGTGTCACGGAATCTAACCTGTATGTGCTTTCTCGTAAAGCATAGCATCCGGTGGAAGATGCTCAGACCCAGAGATCTAAGATCTTCGCATTGGGTTAGGACCCATACACGGATTCCGAAACGCCCCGCAGCAATCTAAAGCCATCGCCGAGCAAGCTGTAGTTCATATAAAAACATGCCCCAAGACGCAAAATGCTTTGACCCCTCTCCAGTCGAGGTCATGGATGCAGTCGCCACGTGGCTTGGCGACATTTGGCCCGGATCACTTTCGTTCAGAAATCCGATCAGCACGAAACCTAAAACCGGACGATGTAAATTGCCCCTGCGGAGTTCGAGGGATACGAAAGTATCCTCAAGTTCAGGTAAGCCATCATGGAAAATTATGAAATGGAGACTCCCAAGGTCCTAAACTCTCCTGTATCACCCCGAAGCCTTTCCGAAAGCGTGAAAGCCCCAAGATTCAAAATGCGAGAAAAGGGCACCTTCTGCAAGCTTTGGGGCTCAGCCATGCTTGGCTTCAATCGTTTATGGCAGGGCCTCGGACCCAAAAAACGGTCAGAAGTTCCGATGCTACGTCTTCTACAGGTTGAGAGAGAGCACTTGGGGCCCAGGGGGCTAGGATTACAGGGTCTTTATAAGGGAATTAGCAACTTTTTTCTGTGGTACTTGGCAGGGGCTTGATAGTAGGGCTCTTGCGTGTTTCAGGTCTTGATGTCTTGGGGTTTGATAAGAGACACGATGCAACGAAGGATCAGCCCACGTTAGGATCAGGGTTTGAGCTTTAGGATGTGGGTTGTCGTGTGGAGGACTTGGGTCCTGACAATTGGCTCGAGGTGCGAGGCATGACGAGGGTGACCTCAATGGTGTATATAGAGGTTCGAAATTTGCGATTGAATGTTGAGGCTCCTCATGGCTTCCTCAAGCGAGGTTTCAATTGAAAGCTTACCTTCCTCCCAGGCAGCAGCGTACGTGGAATGCACCGCTCGGACACTGCCAGTGCTATGAAGCGGCAGTTCTCTCTCTAGAGCTCGAGTGTGTGAGAATTTCTTTGTAAGTTTCAGCTGCCATAGAGCATGCTGCAACAGCTGCCTGGCTGCTTTTGCTGACGTACAGGCTGTGACAGTCTCATGAACTTTTTTGCCCCTCGCTTGATGCCGAGCGGGTTGCCTGTGAACGGGGCCCAAGGTATGGATAACTCGATTCTGCGGGGATTCGGCACGATGCTGTTGTTCAAGCATCTCAGTCCATATCTGGGAATTACCCGCTCGCAGTTTGAACATTCTCGCTTGGTTGCGTCGACGGCATGGAGTGCCGCTTCGCATCATCGCATCACTGCACTTCGAAGTCTAAGGTGTAGGGCCCCAAGCCTGGGAACTTAAATCCTAAACTCATCAATCAAACTGACCACAGCTGTCGTAACTCTGCCTCCCATTAGTGTGGTGCAAGAACGTCTCTGTCCTCCTAAGCCCAGACAGCCGATATCTGGGACCTACTAACTGATGCCCTATGAGTTTGCTTTGGTCATGTTTTGAGCGTCACGTGACAACAGGGACATAGGGTGTTCCCAGAGGCCAACACTCCTGTGCCCGGATGCAAAAAAGGGTTCAGGGAAAATTGTTGGAACGTATTTATAACTTAACAAATATTTCCCTAATCAAGGGGTGTGGGCTCGGTCCGAAAACTTTCTTCTGTTGAGCACTTAGGTCTCTCTAAATGTCTTCACTGTTTAAAGTTCGGGGCTTTAGGGATTGGTGTTCAGGATGCTGAGGCCTAGGTGGACTTACGCTGGGGCGTTCGGTGTTCTGTTGTTGAAGACTGCAGGCACAACCATGACGACGGAGATGTTGCACCTTTTGATTACCTCGTTGGAGCCCTGCTGAGGCGAATGTTGAAATCAACGATGACAGAAGTAATTAGACATGTCGGCCGGGCGTTGTTGTTCATGGTTCACGGCTGTGCTAAGCAGCAGGAAATTCGACGAATACTGTAGCTGGTCAGTGCCAACAACCTCAAACTAGAAGCCCCCAATATCCCTGAACTATAGCGGCCTTAAGAATTACAATAGTGTTGTGGGGGTTTCGTATACTATAACTCCAACAAGGAACCCGCCAAAACATGCCCCGCTATTATAGTACCCTGATAGTAGCCACCCTTATAGGCCCCTGTAAACCCTTAAGCTTTGTATCACTAACCCGTGCTGTATTCGGCTCAGGGAGCCGATCGGGAAGTGCAGCGATGGAGGGTGGCTTTGGCTTACGGAAATGGGAGTTGCAAGTGGAGGGTTCCGACGAACAGGCACGCAGCATGCACATGTATGCACAGGTGTGTTTCTGTGCAAGTTCTCATCTTTGTGTCGAATGTATACACTACGTAGATGTATAAACACACACATATCTATATACCCATGCATATATACTTACATAGCTACATATGCACATATATGCATATACGCATACATACATAGTGAGAATACCTCCTCGTTTTGCAATGTGTAGCCTGAGCGCATGCCTAGGTAGCCTTCATTGTAAAGTGCTAGTGCGGTAGGAAGCATCAAACATGAATGCAAACCGCAACATTACTCTCAAAGGCGCCTTGAGCATAGTGGCGAAAAAAGTAGCTGTCCGAAGCGCTTTGTTACCAAATTGGTAGCGGAGCTGAGCCCTCAATTGCAGGGTGAAGCTCCAGCAGGGCCTTTGGGAAGCCAGTTCTCCGTTGTATTGCCTCAGACCGTGTTGGCTGGGGAAGGTGTAACACAGTGGAAGCAAGCAGTGTGATATTCCTTTGGTTGGTGTGGCTGGAGGAGTGTGCCTTACCATGACAGTCGCAGGGTTAAGGTACCAGCAGGGTTCGTATGCAACGGCCCCCAT